GGCCTTTTCCCTGGGCTACGTTTTTTTTTTCTTGCATAGGCTTGTTTCGCAGCTAGCCTTCCCCTCATTTCTTCTTTTCTCTCATAGTCTTGAGCCATTCCGAGCCATTCTCTCGCTCCTTTTCCTTCATAGGCTCAAGTCTACCACACATTTCAGTCGCGAGGCTGATCGAGCCAAGCGATCGTTAACTGTGGCACTGACAGACGGACTTAAGCCGTGATTGCCTCTGAGGCATTAGGTACAGTCTATTTAATTCCATAGGCCGTAGCACCTGGCAGTAGAAACTTTCTGGGAAGGGTTTGTTTGGACAGACTTGCGGCCTCAACCCCCTGACGACGCAGGCTGCCTGACAAAATACTAGGATGGGATCCTTCGCTATCAGTTATCCATTTTAACTTTCTTAAGCTTTGCCCCAGCTCTGCAAGCTATTTTGCCATAGTATGTTTCCAGGATTCAATGGTTTTCTACCCTCTTCTCCTGGGCTAGAGGCCGGACATTTCCTGCCTGTTGCCGTGGGGTGGCTTTGGCTGGGAGGAACATCGCAGTCTTCTTCTATTCAATCTATGTGTATAAGCACTTTCTGCCTGCATCCCAGCAATGTGAGATAAAGAAATTAATTAAACCCCTAAGTTCATTTTGAATAATGTATGAGATTCCATTTTACTGAGAATTAAGTTTTGACAGCTTTGATTAGTTATGGGAAGTTTTTATCGTTTATCAGGAATTGCATCCTTTGCACATACGCCCTTTTTCCAGAGAACTCCTCAATTTGATTAAACGCTGAAAAAGTATTTACTGACGAATGCATCCAGCGGCATGGCAAAATGAATATTAGAAAGCTGACAACCCCACCAATTGAAATGACGTTACCATCGGCCTCATCCTCAGCGGTGATGCCTTCAACCAGACCGAATCTGAAAGCGCTCAACCTTTACCCTTACAATGCATGATGTAACAGATATGGTACATACAAAATACACATTTTTAGAATGCGCAGGGAGCGAAATCGTGAGGTAAATCTGTTTGTACACTCTTAGAAAAAGGGGAGCGATTTTTCTCAAAAAAGAGAATAAAATAGCTAACTCCAGTTTCACCCCCCTTTCACTCTGGGAAAGGAGCAAATTTACTCCATCACCAAGAAGTCAAATTGCTCTCCTCCTCTGTGAGTAAAAACACTCCCATCAGAAAGTGATAGGGATGTCATGCAAATCAGAAAATTCCCACATATATTGTGTGTCGCTTTCATTCTCGTATAGGCGTTGACCTATCTCTGACTGTACTGACTTACAGTACACGTCAGAGGTTGGATCACCTCTTATAGGTTCTGTGGAGTATCCGCGATATCAGTCCCTTATTACTTCATTTCATTGAGGTCTGACAGAACGGAGTTCACGAACACTATTTATTCTAGATCTCCTACGCGGATACATGCAAAAGCGTTCCGAAAGGGTTCTCAATAGGAATATGAGCTTGTTTATGGCCTGGACTCCATGAATGTGTCTTGAATATGTGGATAACAAATGATGAAGTGTCCGTGTTTATTGATTCCTATAATGAGACTAGGCGAGACATATGGCAAGGTACTAAACAATCCTGCAAGGGACGATTCCAGGGAAAGAGAGAAGGGAACTTTTGTGTACTGTGCGAAAAGCGAGACCCTTACCGCCATCTAGGGGCCTGGCGAAGAACTTGAAGGTGTTCACTTCAATACGAGCGATGTGGGAGCATTTGTTGAGTAATAAGGGAGTAAATTCGGAAAGCTCACGGTGTGCTGACTTCTTACTTCCCAAACGTTCGGANTCCGGGATACAATGAAATGATTACATTTCAATTAATTCGATGTTTGTAGATAATTTCATCGATTTAGCGTATTGTTGAATTGAAGACTGAAAATGTCTATGAAAGGTGGCAGGTAAACTGACAGGGACGATTCCAGGGAAAGAGAGAAGGGAACTTTTGTGTACTGTGCGAAAAGCGAGACCCTTACCGCCATCTAGGGGCCTGGCGAAGAACTTGAAGGTGTTCACTTCAATACGAGCGATGTGGGAGCATTTGTTGAGTAATAAGGGAGTAAATTCGGAAAGCTCACGGTGTGCTGACTTCTTACTTCCCAAACGTTCGGAATTTTCAAAGTGGTTTGGAGGGGATTTACAACAGTCCCGTCCTTATATCAAGCAACTATAGGGTCACTAGGAGTAAGAAACTCCTAGTCGCAATTAAATAAATACCAATCAGGCTTCGTCGTAAGGTAGATTGACGTTTTTACTTTTTTAAATTTTAATTTTCTTCTTAATCCAGGGTCCAGGCTCGTCTGTATATTTACATTTTCTTTTATGTGGAGGTATGCAAGAATTTAGGCGGACCGACTGAGCTCTCTAGCATCCATGCAGCGGGGGTTATAAAGCTGAAAATGCTGTAAGTACCAAATGAGCAACAAAAACATTTTCGGGACACCTTAAAAATTTGAATTTAATTAATTTTTCCCACTTAATCAGTGTTTTAGGACGTGAGAGGAACCCCCAAAAATTGTTTTCCGAAAAGTCATGAAATAATTTTTCATCATTTGACTTAAAGGAAAGAAAATTTTTATTTGCTTCCATGTGATGCGAACTTTTTCGGCATTTTGATATGATTTCACCCCTAATATTCCTAGCATATTGAGCTCGGTCATGTCGGATTATTTCTCGACCTTGCTTCCATTAGCGTCAGCATGCTTCTCGCATACCAAAGAAGGAAAAGAAGGGGATACCAATGCAGGTGGTTCCTTGAGCGAGGAAGCCACTTCGGCAGCGACACGTCCCGTCCACGCAATCTGCATTGTTTACGCAGTCGACGTTGCTCACGCAGATTGTCCCCACAGATATCTTCAATGCAGAGAAAAAGTAAATTTTTAAAAATTAAAATGACCCTTTATAAAGCTTACAAATTTGTTTCCAAACGAAATGAAGTGAATTGATAAACAAATAAAATCTAATTAAATAAATATGACATAATAAATGATTAATCATAAATGAACAACAATGAATAAAAAAAAATAATGAGCACATAAACAAATAATAAATAATAATAAATAATGATAAATAATAATAAATAATAAATAATAAATAAATAATAAATAATAAATAATAAATAATAAATAATAAATAATAAATAATAAATAATAAATAATAATAAATAATAAATATGCAATAAATTTGAAAAGTAAATAATACAATTAAAGTTTAATTTCTTATTTTAAGTTCGAAAAAATGTCTTTAAATGCAATGCAATCGGGCACCTGTTTACAGGCGATCTCAGGTCGAGGAGACGGGACGAAGCCTTGAGTGCACGCGCAAGTGAAGCTTGCGATGGAGTTTTGACACACTGCGTTCTTGCCACATGGCCCGTTCAAGACCGCACATTCGTCGATGTCTGATATCGATGTAGAGAAAGTCCATAAATAGGCAGGAAAAATTATGTTAATATGCTGTAAATGATTTCTTTTCAAAGAGGAATGGAATGAACATTTCAAAATATATACATTTTTTATTATTATTAAAATTGGAATTATTTCATGGACGTAAGGAATTCTGTCCTGAAACGTTTGAATGAAGACCTAAAAAGGAAAAAAAATTATGCATAACACAAGAAATATTGACTCATTTTTCTTTGGATTCCTTATCAAAGATGCTCGGATAGAGTTGTCTCACTGCTCGCTATCCGTAACTCTGAGTACCTCCATTGTGCCTCAATTTAAGTTTCCATATATTCGACAACAGGATCGAAGATATTCTGAGCATAGAAAAAAATTCCAGAAATTTCTTTCGATGCATACCTTAGCATCTCGCGGAAAGTTGGCAAGCTTGATGTTCTCGAGGAAATTTTTTCGATTACATGTTATGGAATGATAGATGAAACTACAATAAAAGCCGAGTTGCATCATCGTAGGCTGGGACTTTAAAAAAGATATTGACCTTTGTTAATAAATGTCGGCGTTCACCTATCTACTTGACCCAACATCTCGACGGCTGGACACTATTGAGAAAGGGAAGAGAAAAACTGATTTTAGCAGACGCAACGAGGTTGATTGGATGTGCCTGCCTCGGTATGCAGTTGTTGAGCGTAAAGCCTACTATTACCGAAATTCAATATTTCTTTTCTAAAACACGGTTGTAGATATTCAATACATTTAAAATCTGCCTAAGAGCATTTTACATCTAAGACATCGTCATTTTCATTACATTTAACCGGAAAAATTGCCCTTGAAAGCATCACGCCTATATTGAGCGGTGATTTGAGCGTCTTTTTGGGCTACATCCAGTGTATGTGAACGTGGCAAAAACGCACCACTACGAGCGTTAGCGAGCGAAAAAAAGCAAAGGAATAAAGACTTGCCTTGGCACGGGTGAGTGGGCGGGTCCCCGAGGAATCCCGTTTTGCACTTGCACGCGTACGAGCCTGGCTGATTCACGCACAGCGCGTGGACACCGCACACGTTCGGGTCCTTGCATTCGTCAACATCTGTGAGTGCAAATGCCGTAGGGTGAAACATTTCATAATTGTGAATTCGTTCTTGACACTCGAAAATCCCGACATAAAATTCATGTCGAACTCAACTGGAAAAGTTGCATATGGACCTACACCCTACTGCACAGAAAAGCAAGGCGTGCCAATCAAATACTTCTGAGTTCCATCGACACTGTCAGGAGTAACCCCCCTCCATACATTCCAGCAAATCAAATAAATTTGATTAAAATGCAGAAAAAGTCTCATTACTGACGGATGCATCTCATGCCAAGGTAAAATGAACATTAGAAACTCGGATGACCCCTCAAATCGAAGTGACATCAAAGCTAGACCTCAACCTCAGCAGTGACGCCCTAGACCAGACCGAATATAAAAGCGCCCAAATTTCAAATATCTTAGAAATTACATAAAATAACATAAAACATGAATTTTCTTCCCTTGTCATTTCCACCCTCATATTCCTCGCATATTGAGCCAAGTCATGTAGGTATGTTTTACGACCGTGCCGCCATTAGCGTCCGCATGTCTTCCACATATGAGAGAAGAAAGAAAAGGAAGGGGATACCGATGCAGGTGGCTTCTTGGGCGAGGAAGCCGCTTTGGCAGCGACACGTCCCCTCCACGCATTCCGCGTTCTCCACGCAGTCGACGTTGCTCACGCAGATCGTCCTCACCGAGATCTAAAACTCGGAGAAAAACCAGTTTATTTTCTTGAAAATGTCCTTTAATAAAGTTTCATAAAATATTGTTTCCAAATTAAATAAAGTCAAATCATTGAAAATTGAAAATTTATGTAAATAAATAATAAATTTAATTGGGAAAAATAAATAATAATAAATGAAAAAAATTTAATTCAAAATGAAAGGTATACAATATATGAGAAATAATAAACAGTAAATAAATTAATGGTGAATAATACAATTAAAATCTCATTATTTTATTTTAAATAAAAAAAATATATATTAAGATGCAACGCAATAGGGCACCTGTTTACAGGCGATCTCGGGTCGTGGGGCCGGGACGAAACCTTGCTTGCACGTGCAAGTGTAGCTTGGGATGGAGTTTTGGCACTCTGCGTTCCTGCCGCATGGCCCGTTCAAGACCGCACATTCGTCGATATCTAATATGGATGCATAAAAAATCCATGAATTGGCGAGATAATTTATGGTAGTAAAGATGACTCCTTTTTGTTAAGGACTCGAATGAAGATTCCAGAAAATTAATATTTTTGTTTTTAAAGTTGGATTTCTTTTTTGGATGAACGAATGGTGTCCTGAAACGTTTGAACGAAGACTCAATATGAAAAAATACTTTTAATACATAACATAATAAATATTGATTTATTTTTCGTCGGATTCCATGTCATGGAGGTTCGGACACAGTTGTCCCACCGCTCGCTATCCGTGACTCTGGGTGCTTCCATTGGGACTCTATTTAAGTATCCTTTAAGACAACAGGAACGAAGTTATCTTAAGTGTAGGAAAAAACTCTTAGAAATTCGTTCGCTCCTTACTTTAGCATGTCACGGAAAGTAGGCTAGTTTGATGTTTTCAAGGATATTTTTTCGGTAAAGGGTCTGTCCACGCCAAATAGTCTTAGAATTTTAGCTGGAAATTTTTCTAAGTATGCAAATATTACTTTCGCTACCGAATTTCATATTTTCTTCCAGAAGACATAAATGAAAGATAATTTTACATTGGAAAATGGAAATATAGTCATGAAATTGATATATTATTCATACAGATATCATTATCCTGAAAAAATGTGATGAAAATGCAAATATGGATAGGCTGAATTAGACTACTGGAACGAATGCCAGCATGGGCTTTCCATGCATGCTGATAATTTCAAATCAGCACTGGTGTGAAGAGTAGATGCCAATTGTTCACATTTGAATTATGTCTTTAAAATAATCTAATACTTTAATTCGAAGAGGTCAAATGTTGTGGTGGTGGTCGTGGTCGTGGCTGTCACCCCCACGTGCGGGCCTACGATGCAATGCCATTCTGGGTCATCGGCTCGGCTATCCAAGGTCTAAAGCACCAGGCCCACAAGGCTGCGCCTTTCCAAGCCATCTACATATACTTTAATTCGAAGAGCCCGAGAGTTGATGTAGTTGTCACCCCAGCGCGCGAGGCTTACCAGACTATGTCACTTCATGCCATAAGCTAGGCCATTCACCCCTCAAAGCGCCATGTCCTTGAGGCTATGATATTCTAGGCCATAGGCTTGCCCATCCAACGCTTTTAGCGCCAGGTCCATCGAGCTATATCAGTCGGAACCATAGGCTTCATACTTAGCTGTGTGGAGCAAAGGGTGCTACTAACTGAATGCGTGTCACGTTTTTACTGATCGACTGCAAGTTCTCCATTTTAATACATTCTTTGCTGAAGTGTTCTTTTTCTTTGTTTATTTTTTTTCCGTTAGGTCAGGCATGTCGATTCGGGACGTCACTTCCATGCAATAGTTTTCTGTTTGTGTTTCACGTCATGGTCGATTTATTTGAGTTCTCATTATTGATGAAATCAAAATAATAACGGAAGTTCTTTGTTTCATACGTCGCGAAGACCGATCCTCCCATCAAAATTGTGGCGATTTTTGCGAGGTGAGGTTGAACGTGAAAAAAAAATGTTGAAAGGACGGCGATGAGGCAGTCGCTGTAGATAATAAACGATTGGTGCTGGTGCGGAAACAACGTTTGCCACTGCAGTTGCGCTGCGAAGTACCTAAATCGGTGCCAGCCGTAATGGTTAGAATCAGTGATGAACAGCAAGCAGATGTGCGTAGGGCTGCTGAGACCGCTGAACAGCAAGAGGCAGTGAATCCTGAGCTCCGGAATCAGAGAGCCGTACAGCCTACTGAGTAACTTGATGCAAGGAACGCAGCACTCAGGTGTCGAGAGCCGGGGGGCGGACGAGAATTGAACCCGGTCCTCCTGCTTGCCGGTCAGGTGTGCAACCATTACACCACGGAATTTGGGACATGTTGTCAGGACTCTCCATGTCATCTCCAATCACTACAGTCGTTTGCGCAGCGAGCACTGTCAGGCTGTACATTTTGATGTAGGGAGGAGGCATTTGTTTCACAACGGAAAAATGCTCCTGCTGCAACTCACACTTTACACCAGTGAGCAACACTTTCAGAGGCTCAGGGTAATGTGGTGGCGAGGCATTTTCTGGAATTAGTCGCTAATATTGTGCCGCCCGTGTACTAAATTCCCTTTGTGCCTTCGAACAAGTTCTTGGAAATGGTCCGTACTGTTTCAAAATCATTGGTATCTGTACTATATACTAACGATAATAGCACATGAGCTAATCGGTGATGCAAGAGTATTGAATGTGCTAGGGAAACAAAATCAGCAGAGTCGTCTTGAGTCTCATGAAAACGTGCTAAACCGTTCAAAATGAACGATTGTGGCAATCAGCTGGAAAATCATGATGATGGTGTTTAGGAACAGAATTTTCCTGTGTACTGTAAGCTATCTAATAAATATAGACGATCGTGACTGACTGACTGACTGACGCTAATTCTATTTTCTACAAGGGTTAGAAATCTGAAACTTGGAACACATATACCTTATGAGATGTAGAGTTCAGAAAAAATTAGATTTTGGAGGTACATGCCCGGTGGGTACAAACTTTGTGGGAAACATTTTTCTTAAATATATATGGTGATATATGAGGAGGGCATTCAGAGTCATCTGGATGACGTGGGTTCGGTGGTGTAGTAGTAGTATATCTGACTGCTAACCAGAAGGCTCTGGTTCAATTCCCGGCCATTCGTTGACTTTCTTTCGGCGTTTTTTACTTTCCATGTCCCGTTACACATTCCCCCTCCAAAACATTATTTTCGCTTTAGTAAAACGGAGTGACATGGATAGTTGAAACCTGACATGGACATGCTTGCCGAGACAATGAGTTCAAGAAAAATGTAAAATTTTAGATCCATGCCCTGTGGGAGCATAATTTTTGTGGCGTCATGAACTGGTGTGGAAAGATGCAACTTGGTACATAACTACCTATTGGGCTGCGTGCAGAAAAATTTAGACTTTGGAAGTAAATTTCAAAGGGAGATGTTTTCAAATAATTTGTTTGCATTGGTTAAACTGATGAACATGGAAAGCTGAAACTTTCCATGAATGTGACTACTGAGACAAGGAGTTAAAGGAAAGCGTAGGAATATGGAAATGGAAAGGTGAAATTTGGCACACGTCTAAGCGACATGGTGTTATTGAGTTGAGGGAGTATTCAGCTTTTATGGTGCATCCACTCCGGGCATAGCTTTTGGTTACATTGGCATTTCCAAACATGTTTTTTCACCAGCGAAAAGGGCAAACGAATATTGAAACTATGTGAGCATGTAGTTCACTGAGGATGGACTTCGGTATGAGAAAAAGATACTTTTAAGTGAAAATGCCTCAAGGCACAAATATATTGCAAAGGGCATTTTTCTCGCATTTCTGATCCAGCAAAACAGAGGACGCTAGAAAGTTTAAACTCGTCAAAAAAGAACCTGATGTATAGTTGAGTAAATAAAATATTCTACTTTTACTACATATAAACGATCGTGAGTAGCTGACTGACAAGTCCCATGCTGAGCTGAGGAAAAATTCTACTTTGGCGATACATGCCACAGGGGCACACCTTTTTGGGAACATATTTTCAAATAGTTCTCTTTGCTTCAATCTAACGGAGACACATGGAAAACAAATTTGGCAAGAACGTGACTTCTGAAGCACTGGGCTCAGAAAAAAATGTCAAATTTCCAAAATATTGGAATTTTGGGGGGATATTTCTTGGGTACATTATGTTTTCAAAGAATTTTTATATCCTAACGAATCGGGTAGAAATAGAAAAGTAGCAGCTGGCGCAGGCATAACGGACGTGATGTTGATTTAATGAAAAATTCTACTTGCCCTCTCAGATCACAACTTTTGAGTGGGTCGCTTTTCAAAATACATTTTTTACCGCCAGTAAAAAGGGGAAACGTATAAGGCTGAAACTGGGTGCCATGGAGTTCCCTGAATCAACAATTTAGAATTTTAAAAAATTCGTTCAAACCCATCAAGGCACTTTTTTTAAGTTCCATTTTCTGAACTTTTTTTTATCCAACGAAACAGAGGCAGAAAATTTAAACTTCCCTCAGAAGTACCTGTTTGATGGCTGAGTACAGGAAAAATCCTACTTTTGAAAGATGTCCCATTAGCGTAGATTATAGGAGGGAAGTATTTCAAAATGTATTCTCCACCCTTACAAAAAGGAACGCATGAAAAGATTTCAAGTTCGGCACCCTAGAAGTAATGATTTTGATAAAAATGAAGACTTTCGTCCCCATATGTGACGTATTTCAATGGGGACGCACTTTCAATACGTGTTTGCCATTTCGCAAAGAATAAGTGAAATAATCATTATCCTAGGTAACGGAGAGCAGAAGGCGCGACCATAGCGAGTTTGTTTGCCCGAAGGGCAAACAAACTCGCTAGTAAATGTATACATGTAACGAAGCGGTTCAGTTCTGAATGGGATATGAGGTGAACAGAGGATTTTCAAGGAGACGTTATGCTCATAACAGACGGTTCAAATTTCAACCTATTAGACGGCCAGCGTAGCGGCCGCAGGCCGCTAGTATTCATTTATATGTACAGACGCCTCGTTTCAAAATACACTTTCAGAACAACTCACAACAGACACTTTCCTGTCATATCCGACACCGTCACAAAATAGGTTTACATTCTGTTTCAAGTGCCGACATCTTGGAGTGACTTATACCAATTTCAAGCGTTCATTCAATCTATAAAATGAACACAAAATTATTAGGATCCATTCGTTGTCAGATATGTGAAAATTTGTGAAAGTGATTGTAATTAGAGGCTCTCGAAATGTCACGTCTGACACTTTTCTTTGTATACAGGTACACCTCTAACGTAAGAGAATGTGCTAGACTTTGGTTTATGGAACTTTCAGTCACCACCCAAAAGCAAATTCTTACAGCCTTTACATGCTGATTCGTCATCCATAATAAGTGTAAATACATTTTGAATAATAAAAGTATTTCTCCGGATGTCACATCTGGCAACTTGGATAGACCCTAAAATGTAATGGAGATAGACGTGGTTACTCGATAGGCCGACATGAAGTATCGTAAACGGAGACTTAAAAAAAATATTGCCTTTCGTTTCCTAAACATCGGCGTTCACCCGCCTCCTTCATGGAACATCTCGTCGACGGCTGGACACTATTGATAAAAGGAAGGGAAACACTGACTTCAGCAGACGTAATGAGGATGATTGGATGTGCCTGCCTCGGTATGCAGTTGGTGAGCGTTACGCCGACTCTTGCCGAAATTCAATATTGCTTTTCTAAAACACCGTTGTAGATATTCAATTTATTTAAAATCTGCCTAATAGCATTTAGCATCTAAGACATCCTCGTTTTAATTACATTTAACCGGAAAAAATGTCCTTGAAAGCATCACGCGTATATTGCACAGTGAAATGAGCGTCGTTTTGGGCTACATCCAGCGCATGTGAGCGTGGCAGAATCAGGCTACTGCGAGAGTTATGAATAAAAAAAAGTAAAGGAATAAAGACTTGCCTTGGCACGGGTGAGTGGGCGGGTCCCCAAGGAATCCCGTTTTGCACTTGCACGCGTATGTGCCCGGCTGATTCACGCACAGCGCGTGGACACCGCACGCGTTCGGGTCCTTGCATTCGTTCACATCTGCGGGCGAAAATGCAATCGGGGCGAACATTTCATCATTGTGAATTCGGTTTCGCCACTCCCGAAAATCCCGACATAAAATTCATGTCGAACTCGACTCGAAAAGTTGTATATCGACCTGCACACTACTGCACAGAAAAGCAAGGCGTGCCAATCAAATACTTCGGGACTCCTTCGACACTGTCATGAGTAACCCACCCTCCAGGCATTCCAGCGAATCAAATAAATTTGATTAAAATGCAGAAAGTCTCATTACTGACGGATGCATCTTATGTCAAGGTAAAATGGACATTAGAAACCATCAATTGAAGTGACGTCACCAATGGCCTTAACCTCAGCGGCGATGCCCTTGACCAGACAAAACCTGAAGCGCTCATCCCTAAAAGTAAATATTTCATAATTAAAATAAAAAGGAGAAAAATAATTAATTTCCTTTCCCGTCACGCGAACTTTCTCGGCATTTTGATATGGTTTCCCCCTCGTATTCCCCGTCTTTTGAGCCTAATCAAATATATTATTTCTCGACCGTGCCTCCATTAACACGCACGCGCCATTTGCTCATGTGAGAAGTAAGGAAAGGAAGGGAATACCGATGCAGGTGGTTCCTTGAGCAAGGAAGCCACCTCGGCAGCGACACGTCCCGTCCACGCACTCCGCATTGTTCACGCAGTCGACGTTGTTCACGCAGATCGTCTCCACAGAGATCTACAGCACAGAAGGAAAACATTCAATTATCTGGGAATGTGTCCTTTCTAAATAGTTTCAAAAGTAATTTTCCAATGAAATTAAGTCAAGACATTGACAAATAAAAAAGTAAGTGAATAAATAATACAAACAGTAAATAATAAAATTTTAATTTTATTTTTTAATTTTAAGTTTGAAAAAACTTCTTAAGATGCATCGCTACCGAGCACCTGTTTACAGGCGATCTCGGGCCGGGGGGCCGGGACGAAGCCTTGCTTGCATGTGCAAGTGTAGCTTGGGATGGAGTTTTGGCAAATAGCGTTGCTTCCGCACGTCTTGTCAGAGACCGCACATTCGTCGATGTCTGAAATTCATGCATAAAAAGCCAAGAACAATAGTTATAAAAAAAATTCAAGCAATGAAAACGAGTCCTTTTGAACGAGGACTTCAATACAGATTCCCAATATTTAATATGTTGCATTTATTATTCTTAAACATTTTATTTTATAGATTGAAGGAATGTTGTCCTGAAACTTTTGAACGATGAACAAATAGGAAAAATATTTTTAAACATGTACTACTGAAGAAGTAAAATGATGCTTATTACTTCAGTTACTTACTAATTACCATTAACATATGCCTTTTGCGCATGTGAGAAGAAAGAAAGGAAGGAGATACCGATGCAGGACGCTCCGTGGGCTAGGAAACCGCCTCGGCAACGACACGTCCTGTCCGCGCACTCCGCGTTCTCCACGCAGTCGATGTTGCTCACGCAGATCGTCCCAACAGAGATCTACAACACAGAGAAAAAAGTCAATTTTATATCAGTGTCCTTTTCATGATGTTTCAAATTTTGTCTTCAAATGAAATGAAGTTCAAGTCATTAACAAATAAAAATTTAAGCAAATTAATAATAAATAATAAATGATGTATCATTAATGATGAGCAACAAATAATGAATAAATAGAATAATAACTAAATAATAACAAAAATCAATGAATAATAACTAAGAAATAACGCAATCGGGCACCTGTTTACAGGCGATCTCAGGTCGGGGGGCCGGGATGAAGCCTTGTTTGCATAAGCAAGTGTAGCTTGGGACGGAGTTTCGGCACAACGCGTTGCTGCCGCATGGCTTGTCCAAAATCGCGCATTCGTCAATGTCTGAAATTGATGCATATATAAAAAAAGAACGGGAATTATAGTTTAAAAAAATTCAAGCAATGAAAATGACACCTTTTGAACGAGGACTTGAATGCTGATACCCAATACTAATATTTTTTCCAATAATTATTCGTGGAAAGATTTCATAGATGGAAGGAATGGTGTCATGAAACTTTCGAATGAAGACCCAATAGGAATTTTTTCAAACATGCATAACTGAATAAGTGAAAATATAAAAATTACTAAACTTACTTAATAATTACTAGGGCTGTCACGATAGATCGATGGATCGATACTACTATCGATGATTGGAGGTATCGATAGTTTTTTTACCATCGCGATGTATTGGAAGGGAAAATGTCCCATTGGATTGTGGCGAGTACGATACAATACAGCCCATCTGTGTTGGGAAAGGAGGCGGCGTGACTCGCATGGGCTTGTAATTTCCTACCACGATCAAATTCTGGAAATGCTGGACTGACTATATAAAAGATGGGATGGGAAAAAAAGTTGGATCGGAGACAAGAAGTGGGAAAGGGGAGGGAGAGAAGACCGAGAATACCTTTTTCTCTTATGTTTCCGTCTTGGGTTCGATCTTATCAGGTGCATGCTGTGAAAGTGGACTGATTTTATACTCCTTTGATTTCTAAACGTACATTGGTGGTACTTTTCCCTCTATATGTTTCGGCAACCGACGGTACAACACCATCGGCAGGTTTCCTATCTGTCGGTGCCAATGTCCAAAGAAGACCGTGTAAGACGAAGGAAATGAGAAAAAAATTACACGAACGGGCTTGGCAACTGATTCTCAACGGCAATATAAAAAATTAGGGCTGTCCTGAGGCATCCATTGCTGAATGGATATCATCCTCGATATTTGGAGGTATAGTAGGTTTCATTACTCGTTGCGAAGGTCACACCTTCCTCCCACACCTTCCGATCTCAAGCGTGAGATTATGGAAGACAGATAAAGGTCCTCGCTCCGATAGAGGCGAGAAAATATTGAATCCTCCGGCGCAACCCCTCCCCCCTCCCTCCCTCCCTCCAATGCATTGATACACTATCGATAGTTTTGGTCGATGCATCGATGTTTTGAAAACTACTATCGTGACAGCCCAACTAATTACCATTAACGCATGCCTTTCACGTATGTGAGAAAAATGGAAATGTAGGGGATACCGATGCATGAGGCTCCTTGGGCGAGGAAGCCGCCTCGGCAGCGACACGTCCTGTCCACACACTCCGCGTTGTTCACGCAGTCGACGTTGCTCACGCAGATCGTCTCAACAGAGATCTACAACACAGAGAAAAAAGTGTTAATTTTGCAGTAAAGTGTCCTTTTTCTAAAGTATTTTTTATAAAAAATATTATTTCCGAATGAAATGAAGTCAAATCGTTAACAAATAAAAATTCAAGTAAATAGATAATAAATGATAAATGATGTATCATAAATGATGAGAAACAAATAATGAATAAACGGAATAATAACTATGCAATAATTAATAACAAAAATCAATAAATAATAACTAAAAAATAATAATGATGAATATAGAATAATACCTAGATAAATAAGTTATAAATAGTGAATTGATGCGTTTGCACATGTCAAGTCGGAAAATCTCCAGCAGATGGCTGATTGCCGTACTGGTACTGCTATCGGGAAAAGATTTGGCTGCTTAAACAAAGAACACGATTGCAGTCTCATGGATATACGGGCCTGATTTATTGGTGAACTACTGGAATGCACCACTGATATGTCCATTTACGGGCTGTCCAACAGACACAAATCCTCTTCCAGAACACTGAAATCCAGTCGACGTCTTGCTGTCCTCCAATGTCCCCTTACTTCTGGGTTCTCGGGGGAACTCAGAATCCTGTCCTCGTTCCGTCGCTGCAACGAAACCTCAGGTTGAATCGAGCTCTACTCAAATGGGTGGCAGCCTCAAGTGAGTAGTCGATTAACCACTGAAATTCTGACAACTGCCAACACCTAGGCCCAGAGGCCTTCCTATCCGTAAGGAAAAAGGGTCACCGGTGCTACAATCCGCTTGTACTTCCGCTCGGGGTTTCGACTAGCTTCAACGTATTGATACGGGTCAACCGGGTCCTGAAGGAGTCGTTCGGAGACGTAGTTCCTACACCGTCGTAGTACGTCCTGGCTCAAGGTTCGAGTGGAGGTCAAACCGAGCAGCAGGTACGTACGTCGATGCCTGCAGAGCTCAAGTTTCGTGACTCGGGGACAGAATGGCGGCCGTTTACTAGCAAATGGAGCAGCGCTTTTTAAGCCGTTCCACTGTCTTTATGGGTCGATCCACGAATGGAATCGGATCAGCCGAGCTCTGGAGGAGTCGTCCGGTCGCAGACTCTGGCAGGCTCAAAAGCATAATGAGAGAGCTCCTAGCTCGAGCTGTCTGAGTCGTGCAAGCGACCGACGGGCTCTTCTAGAACAGAAGACGGGAGTTTCTATTTCTAGAAGGGTACCATGAAGTTGGGGCATTTGTGACCGTTTTGAGGAATTTGTCAACAAATGGGGGGAGGACATGCAGAACACACGTGCTGGCTACGTGATCATTCGAGAGTTGGCGCCAATAGATTAATTTTCCATTTTTGTAAAAAATATTGAAATAAAAATTTCATTTTTATCATGATTCTAAGTTTAAAAAATACCCTAAGATGTAACATAATCGGGCACCTGTTTGCAGGCGATCTCTGGTCGGGGGGCCGGGACGAAGCCCTGCTTGCATGTGCAAGAGTAGTTTGGGACGGAATTTTGGCACACCGCGTTGCTGCCGCATGGGTTGTCCAAGGCGGCACATTCGTCGATGTCTGAAATTTGTGCAGAAAAATGACTTATTGTCATGAAAATTTCAAGCAATGAAAATAACGATATTTTGAAGAAGGACATGAATGCAGATCCACAATATTTACATTTAAAAAATTATTTTTCTTGAAAAACATTTTATGGATTGGGGGAATGGCTAAAACTTTTAAACGAAAACCCAATAGATCATTTTTTTAAACAAGCTTTACTCAATAAGTAAAGAAATGAATTTTACTTAATTTACTTACCAATTACCATTAACGTATGCCTTTCGCGAATACAACAAGAATCAAAAGGATGGGGATACCGATGCAGGAGACTCCTTGGGCAAGGAAACCGTCTCGGCAGCGACACGTTCCGTCCACGCACTCCGCGTTGTTCACGCAGTCGACATTGCTCACGCAGATGGTCCCCACAGAGATCTACATAGCAGAGGAAAAAAAGGTAATTTTGTAAATATTGTCTTTCCATTAAGTTTCAAATTTTGTTTCCAAATGAAATGAAGTCAATCCCTAACAAATAAAAATGTAAGTAAATAAAAAAATAATAAATGATGAATCATAAATGCAACAAATAAAGAATTTAAAAAATGACTGAATGAATAAATCAAGAAATAAATTATTAAGAAGTAAATAATTAATTAATAAGAAGCAATACGAGATAAATAAATAATTAAAGATAAATAGTGTATAATAAATACATGACAAATAGTAAAAATGAAAAAAAATTTTTTCATCTGTTTTAAACATGTAATAAGACGGAACACAATCGAGCACCTGTTTACAGGCTATCTCTGGTCGGGGGGCCGGGGCGAATCCTTGCTTGCAAATGCAAGTGTAGCTTGGGACAGAATTTTGGCACATTGCATTGCTGCCGCACAACTTGTCCAAGATCGCACATTCGTCAATGTCTGAAATTGATGCATTAGAAACTATGAATAAAAGTAATGAAAAATTGAAACAATGAAAATGACACCCGTTTAACGAGGACTTTGATGTAGACTCCCAATACTTACATTTTACCTCATTATTATTTTTGAAAGTTTTTCATGGATGGAATGGTGTCCTGACATTTTTGAATGAAGACCTAATCAGAAAAAATTTAAACATGAATAACTCAAAATGTAAACATAAATATCCCTTAACTTACTATTCACAATGAACGCATGTCTTTTGAGCATGCAAGATGAATTGAAAGGAAGGGGATACCGATGCATATGGCTCCTTGGGTGAGGAAGCCGCCTCGGCAGCGACACATCCCGTCCACGCACTCGGCGTTGTTTACGCAGTCGACATTTTTCACGCAGATCGTCCCCACAGCGATCTAGATTTCAGAGGAAAAATAGTCAATTTTGTATTAAAATGTCCTTTTAATGAAGTTTCAAAAATTGTTTAAAAATGAAATGAAGTAAAATAAAAAACAAAGAAATATTTGTGTAAATAATAAGTAAATAATAATTATATAATACAATTATTTATTAATGAATAATAAATGAATAATTTATAAATAGTAAATAATGAAATTAAAATTTCATATTTTATTATTCTAAGTTTTAAAAAATGTCCTAAGATGGAAGGCAATTGGGCACCTGTTTACATGCTATCTCGGGTCGGGGATCTGGGACGAAGCCTTGCTTGCAAGTGCAAGTGTAGCTGGGGACGGAGTTTTGGCACACCGCGTTGCTACCGCACGGCTTGTCCAGCACTAGACATTCGTCGATGTCTGAAATTGATGCATAAAAATTCCATTAATAATAGTCTTAAAAAATTTGAAGCAATGAAAAGGACTCCTTTAGAATGAGGACTTGAATGCAGCTTCCCAATGATTACATTTTTTTCTATTATTTTTGAAAATTTTCCATGGATGGAAGGGATAGTGTCCTCAAACTTTTGAACGAAGCCCGAATAGGAAAAAAGGATCCATAAGTAACTCAAAAAATAAAAAGATAAATATTACTTTTACTTTAAGAAATTAATTGCAATGAAAAATTGACATAATACTGAAGAGCTGCATTGAAGGAGAGCCCTGTAATATGCCATATCTTGCCCAAATTAGAATGCCAAAAGGGTGTGATTATGCTGTTTTGTTCCATAAGTGCTACCTCGTATTGGCATAGTGTACAGAGAATGAGTGTGAGATTTTCACTTCATATAGGAGATTTCCGAGGTAGAGAAGTTGGAAACCTGGCAGGAGAGAACACAGATAAAGGAGATGTAACATTAGAATATCAAACTAGTGGACATCAGCATGAAGTTGTTTCAATTTGAGTTGCCCATTTGGACTACAGTGAAACAGAGGGAAAAAAGCTGATCTCTTCAAATTGAAGAGGAATTATAGTGTACCTAATAAAGTGGTATCCACTCTTCGCCTTCCAGATGTTTTGAACTTTTTGTAACTCTATATTTCCGTGAAATTACAAGACAAGGTGTATGAGAGCAGTAAAATGAATTAAACAAATGCTTTCCCAGATTTCGGTTCATTTTATCATTTCAGCTAAACTTCTAAAACATTTTTCCCATTTTAGTAATACAGTGGACTTTCGATAACTCGAAGCTCAAGGGAAATTCAAGGGAAATTCAACGGAAATTCAAGATATTGAGGTTTTTTGAATCCTATGCTCTACAACATTGTACAATTACATAAAACTTGCAACACCAACTCATTTAAGCATAATCACTTGAAAAAGTCTGTCAGGAGAGCTCGGCGTATTTTCGCAGCACCCTGACATTCGACGATATTTTCCAAGTGCGCGGTTGCTTCTAAAGTCTCTTGTGTCAAATCATATGCGGCCGCAATAAGGCTCCGCAAAATTTCAATGGCATGAGGTTATAGCCGTGTTTGACAGCAAGGTTCATGTACACTGACCGACTTGTTGACACCAGGGTGTAGTACTGATTAGGGCCAATCGGAAGCGCTAACGTGTCTTCGCAGGCTTGACTTTCCCAACTTATCAGTGTGGGAACCGAATACGTGTATCATCCTATTCTTGGGTTAACCTAATCTGAAGAAAGGGAAGTTATATTCAGTCATTCAGTACGAACTCAACCAATAAGATATCAAATGGCGTCCAATCATCCCGCATTTAGGGATTAAAAAAAAACTTTAAGTGATTGCAGTCGATCTAACTTCCCAGGAAAAGAGAACCGCATCCATTGGACCCGTGGTTCGCTTGATATCGCCCGAAATTCGGTGGGAAATAGCATCCCCATCGATGGCAAAATTTCAGTCTCAGAAACGGTTCATCGCAGGGAGGTATGCAATAGCTTCAACCGGAGGTCTTTATTGGCTGAATAATGCGCTCCATATATCATTGCGGTTTGCATGAGATTTCAGTAGCACTTTTGAGTTTGAAAATATCAAAATTTAGACATTTTTCACCTCAAATGCATCCACTAAAAGCTTGGAGATTCAAAACATGCATTATTTTCTTAAAGTGGCTCAATATTGCCGCGAGATGAATGAATGTTTAAAATTTTTTAAAAGAGTTTTTGGAGCTCCATGCGATTATTTTGGCTCAACTTGTTGGTATGCTGTATTTCTTTGCATGACTCGTTTCGCTCACTGATGCTTAGAGACGTCGAGTTTCAGCGACATTTCGACTCTCATGATGATGAATTTGCTCGTATGAAACTGCGATTTTCTCTAAACATCGAAAATAGTTCTGAAAGACCTCTACAGTGACGTATAACACGATCGTATTCAGTCACTTGAGTAAAATGGGCACAATTGGAATAGGCAAATTCTGACAAAATCATCTTTTACGAAAAAGCTCAGAAAATCATGTATCGTTGAAAATATCTTAAACTCCCCTTTCTAATGATACAATTCTTGATATCATAGTCACATTGAAAAATACCGGGTCAAAGATGACCAAAAAGTAAAAAAAAATTGAATTTCGAGGTGAAATGTTCCGTGTATCCGACAAAAATTCGCAAAAGTAACTTGCTTTAACGATGCACCTCAAAAAGGGGTAAAATAATCTGTAACCAGAGTTTTTTCATTTCCCTCGTCACATAGGGATGTTTAGAGGGTAAAAATTGCATAAATTTCACATTTTCAAACTCAACTAAGATGCTTAAATCTCAATCAAACTGAAAAAATATATGAAGAAATTTGTTCAGATATTTTAAACCTCCGGTTGAAGCTATCGCACGCTCTGATGTGATGAAAGATTTCTGGGATAGAAATTTCCCGCCAATGGGGGTTTTCCATTTTCCCCCAAAGTTCGAGGATATCTCATTAACCGAAGATCCGATGAAGTCGATCCCTTTCTTTCCTGGGATGTTGGATTGACTGCAATTGCTTAGAACTTTTGGTCAGGTTCGGTCGAAAGCACTGCTTGGGATGACCTTAATGTAAAGTTCGTCCGTGTATATGTACAGGAAAAATATGAATAGTACTGGAATTAATTAAAGTTCTCAATAAATCTGCCTTACGGCATTCGGAGTTAAAGTTGGGGGGAAACGCATTTGTTGCCTAATGAGAATTTCGAAGGGAAACGCCGTGACTTCAAGTTATCGAGAAATTCCAGTTAAAGAGGTTCGAGTTATCGAGAATTGACTATATTTCCGAATGTTAGCCACTCAGAGGGCCATTTCCACGAGCCACCTACCTCATCAACCATATTTTTCTTGTTCATGTCCGAAACTAAAATGGTTATGTTTAACTTGGCTCAATTGCTCGCTTGCATCTGCGGGCAGCAGGGCAAAGCAGTGGAGAAAAAACGGCGTCCGCGGAACTGGCGAATCGAATCCTTTGATTCCGTCATGGAGACTGGTACAAAGTTGTCCCAACGCTCGCTATCCGTGATTCTGGGTGCCTCCATTGCAGGTCAATTTAATTTTCCTTTTGCTAGATAACAGGAACAAAGTTATCTAGAGCATCGAAAAAGTTCCGGAAATTCATTCAACCCTCAGCTTAGCTGAAAGTTGGGAACCCATACAGCGACCAATTGAAAGAAAGCAATTGGGGAAATCACCTTCAGATTGTGATAGCTGGAATGTCGGTGAGATGGTTGTGACTCTGCAACACACTTCACTTCCTGCACACGATGTGTTTGGAATCTCAGTCCCTGGATCGCACGCATCTATGCGAGGAAGACACTCATGGCTGGATGGGCATGGTGTCACATATGATGTTGTTTGTACGATATGTTTAGTGACTGTCGGTGTGCTTTCAATACTCGTCTGGATCCAATCGACAAACCTGAAAGGATAGAATGGAGAAGGCTAAATTGAGTTAAAATTCATAAGAAATGATGGGAAGGAAAGGCATGTACGAATATGAGAAAAAAAGGCAAGAAGATAAATTGCGATCTGACCTATTCACTCTGGTGAAAATAGTATATTGGCCTGGGCGCCTCATGGAGCAAAGCTCATTGGTGAAGAAGTGACTCACGATTCCTTCCACCAGCCACTGCCTCAAGGCAGGTGTATAGAAGACCATGGGACTTCCTGAATCCCCAAGACACGCGGCTTGGAAATCTATATGCCGTAGATTGATTTTAATCAAATTGACTACGTAAGTTGATAACTTTTGACATAAATCACTTTTTGGGAATCTCGTTCCTAAGGAGGACAGGGATCTCCGCTCCGATATAACTCAGTCTGCACAACAGTGTTGCAACAATATTTTAAAAGAATATGAATGCAGTTATGCAAAAAATTGTGGATAAACGTTTCATTGGCTGTATTCAATGCTGTCACAACTAATGCAAAATATTTCATTAGCTGCGTATATAATCTTATATACAAGCCGCCAAAGTTTTTTTTTAACCATTTTCAAAATTCGTTTACTCATAGGGAAAAGGATATGTCTTTCGTGTGACACGTGATTCTTGGCAAAAAGTCAACTTTAGTTATGGGGGGAAAGGAGTCATTCCGTTGGCGTTTAATGATCCCCGTTGACTGGGTCGTGGAGATGTGCGTCAAAAGTATTTCTATGAAAGGTAACTCACACAAAATGAAAATTCGCACGTGTTTCATGAATGGATCCCGAGTTTCGGAACGTTCTCAAGTATCATCATTTGCATTGTAAAGAGGCGCGAAGAAGAAATTCGTGAATTGTAACGAAGACATGGAGACATGAAGTGTAAGGCAAGAACGGTACGTTACAAGTTGCTTCTGTCTGAAGTTATTAATTTAGCAGACTTTTAAAACAACCCAGCAAGAGATTACTTTTGCATGTCGACTGCCTACACACCGATGTCTACACCGATGTCTACACCGAAGCAACGCCGCAGTTGCGGCGTTGCTTCGGTGTAGACATTCGTTCCATTCTTTTACTATGGGCGCGTTCAGACTGGTCTGCGCCGCACCTTCGACGAGGCTGCGGCGAGGTCTCGCCGAAGGACAATGTGAACAGGCCTTAAGGCTGAAACTGGGTAGCATGGAGTTCCCTGAGTTTACATTTAAGAAGAAAAAAAAAATTCCTTTAAAACCCATCAGGGCCCTTTTTTCATAAGTACCATTTTCCTGAATTATTTTTTGATCCAACGAAACAGAGACAGAAAATTTAAAATTCCCTCAGAAGTACCTGTGTGATGGCTGACTACAGGAAAAATCATATTTTTGAAATATGCCCCATGAGCGTAGATTATAGGAGGGAAGTATTGTAAAATGTATTACTAATGAAAAGATTTCAAGTTAGGCACACCAGAAAACATAGAAGTAATGATTGTGATAAAAATGAAGACTTTCGTCCCCATATGTCGTATCTTTCAATGGGGACGTAATTTAAATAAATTTTTGCCATTTCGCAAAGTATGAATGAATTAATAACTATCCAAGGTAATGGAGCGACGAAGGCGCGACCATAGCGAGTTTGTTTTCCCTTCGGGCAAGCTACTCGCTAGTAGTCAAATAAAGCTGGAGCAGCCTGTATATATGACAAGTGTTACTTCGTAATAAAGAGAAAAGTGGTAAATCTTTCAATATGAAAATACAGTTTTTCTGAATTTTATTGACATCTACCCATTAAGTAAAATGGAATTTAAACCACCCAAGAAGGCGAAATGAAAAGAATGAAGAATTAGAATGAGGTATATCAGCTTTTGTAAAGAATGAGAACGGAAGAACGTATTAAAAAGAGGAACCAGTAATTGCACGGTACACTTTAGCAGATCAACATCACACTTGGAGATTGAAATTATGTTTTATCCCCCGTAAATACTCTTTCAATGGTCAATGCTCATTATCCAAAACAATAGAGGTTATTTGGAGGCTCTGTTCCTTTTGAGACAATCAATAAACTTCCATATAGGAGGATGATCGGCTCCAAAAAGCTTGTTAAAACAATAATGCCATTCTCAACCTTTCGTCTACCAGAGAAAATCAGGAAAAAAATTGACACGTCGAAGTTTCATTTCTTCCATGTCTCATCTCTTTGATGTGTTGTCGCCTCGATGTATTGTCGTTTCAATGTTTTGGCGTCGATGTTCGGACGAGATACCGAAGGCTTTAATGCAATCGAAATTTCCAGAAAAATGCAGGCGCCTCTTGGTCGTAATCGAATAAATTGATATACGTCGGTGTAAACACTAAAAGAAAAACTTGCCTTTCAAAACCATACCTTTATAAGAAGTATCCTTATGATGTCCAGCACAGTAAGAGTTCCAGCTGAGCGTTCGCGTGGTATCAGGGTTGCCTGTGAGATGTATGGTATCTCTGTGACAGTTGTCATTCGATAAAACTGGAAATTCGACCTCTGTCAACTCGCCACTCAGTACATCAGATAAATTTTGACCCCAGCTAGCCACCTGTCATCAAAAGGCACAAATAACAAGAAACCCACATCATAGGGGAATGTTCGCAGTAGAAGCAAAGTTTCTCACCATTCCTAGATTTCCATTCTCGAGGTTTGCCTCCGAGAGATGAATAAATGTATTTGTCGGGAGACATATCAACTGCACTCTTTTGGTAAACTCCACCGGTTCAGTTAGTCTCAGCAAGGCAATGTCCGAGTCAAAGTTATGTAAGTTATAGCCCTGATGAATGATGATCGTAGATACCTGGGAAGAGACCATATCAACACATTGTTGCACTGGGCTACATCTGTGCGAGAACAATACATGGCACATTTGGAAACCTCTCTCTTTTGCACGAATCCATCATCCAGGGAGTCATTCCGATAGTATTTTCCCAGATAAACCCGAAAGTCTTTCCTATCCCGAGGTCGTTTGCCTTTGGCGACGCAATGAGCTGCGGTCAGAACCCATTGTTCTCGGATGAGAGCCCCTCCACAAACGATGAGCTTCTCCGTGACGTCATAAATGGCAGCCACCCATGGCCAATTTCCAATGGGGGATGGCTTTCCTCCTGCTGACAAACTTTGTGGCACTCTTTTCCCACAATCTATCTCCGGGATAGAACTGCTTTAGAATGATCTGAATGGCGACGGATCTCCTTGTCAAAAAAATGCAAGAAATGGAAGCTTACCTGGCTCACAAAGAGTATTTCTTCCGTTCCATCGTCCGCTCCCTATGCAAGTCCGGCGTCGTGATCCCTTGAGAGTATAATACTCGTTGCACGTGTATTCCACGATGCTTCCAATCACATACTCACCGTTTCGAATGCATTCTGTGTTGTTTATGAATGCCGATTCAGCGTTACTGCTATAATCTATCCTGGAGGAGATTGTCAATAAACAATCATTCATAAATACCGCAAAGTAGGAAAACATCAATTGATTTTGGGGAAACCGACGACCCTCGAACGCTTCGGCGATGTGAAACTTGATTGGAACGCTTTGGCTAAAGGTATCTACTCCTTGTTCCACGTTCTCCCTACTGCTTGAACCCATCTTACTATAGTTTCCATGTTGTACGGAAGATACCAAGGAGCCTATTTCCTATTAAAGTTTTGATCGTGAGAGAAAGTATGAGAATGAAAGCTAAGCGCTCCCAAGTATTGGATCTAATATACAGTGTGCAGACGATCGTGACTGAGTCATTGAATAACTGACCGAAGGTAATTCTAACCATGTCCTAGATGGTCAGAAATCTGAAATTCGGTACCCTGAGGTGCGGAGCGCAGACAATCCCAATTTCGAATGCCCTCGGGGTGTATTTCTTCAGGAGGATGTTTTAAAGTAATTTCTTTTATTTGAATAAAGCGGAAAAATCTGTGAAGCTGAAATCAATATGAAAATGCCTATTAATGTGTAAATTTCCTAAATAATTTCAATTTTCAAATACATGCAAATTTTTTCTGGAAGAAGTTTTCAAATGAATTTTTTTGCTTCAAAGGGAGAGACATAGTTGAAAATGAGCATGAACTGATATACTAGTTTCAAAAACATTTTCCATTGAAAGATGTAATCACTTAAGAGCATATTGTTTTGGTGGGCGACGTTTTCAAAGTGTAGCGCCCGCCATGACTTATCGCCTCCCCCTAGTCAGGCGCCAGGCTACGGCCCGAACGGGTTGGGATTAATTGCCACTTCTCTTCTACACGTGTCTTTTCATCGCTAAAAAAGGGAGAATGACAGAAAATTAGGACAGCGACAAATGAGGACAGACTGGCGGCCTTCGTGAAATCTATGGCTTTGCCGCGATTTCGCTGTCAAGAGGGATCAGAGGTCGACCACTATGCCTAAGCGCTGGTTGTAGCCGGGCTTGGGTGGATCTGGTTGGGGCCAGGTTCTGTTCCTTGCTGGTTGGAGCCAGAAGGGACGTATAGAAATAGCAAGGCCGGAATCGGATTGTGGGCGTGCGGAGGGTTGGAGCCCGAGCAACCCCTTTCGGTTTCGTTGTTTAGCCGTGATTGAAAAATCACGAGACCTCGCGAAAGTGCTGCATCGAGGGGGTGAGCTGAATCATTTTCTTGTTCGTAGAAGTTTTTCACTTTGTTCATTCACCTTTGAAAGCGAAAGCTAATGCGAAGTTGTGCTGAGGAAGATCTTGTATAAATCCTTTTTTTTATTAGTACTTTGTCAATAGAATAGAATAAACAAAATCCTGTGAAAACCCAGCCTGTTGGAATCATTGTCTAACGGCCACTGATTCCGTCCGACCAATACGAACCATCCCAAAAGGGGCAAATTTCTAATATCCTTTTTTTTTTTTATTTAAATTCTTTCCTGTTTCGCGACGGTCAAGGTAGTTTGCAGGTAGTTATTTAAGTACAGAGACGTACGAGTAATACTACCGGCCACGCCAGACGACCGCGAGCGTTACAAAAGAAATTCAACAAAGTCCAACAGAGAGACGTGGAAAGCTGAAAGTTGGCATGAACATGGCTCATGAGATGCCCAAATAAGAAGAAAGGTTAATTTTTAGACACATGCGCAGGGGGGAACATTTTTTTTTTTAGAAAAAAACTTTCAAATATAACTTTTTTGCTTCCATGAATCTGAGAGATATAGAGACCTAAAAATTGGCAAGAACATTGCTGATGATGAGCACATCTCTGAAAAAAGGGTACTTGTCAAATACATCCCATAAGGACGCGTTCTTGGAGTGGATACATTTGGCTTCACTTTTTTCCTCAACCTGACAGCCGAAATAGGATGAAATGTAGTACCCAAGTAGGGTAGGCACGCAGGTTTCTATTCGGTCCCCTGTTGTTGGCCAGTGAGGCTTAAATCCAGCATAATTAATTAATCTGGCTGTTTTCAAGCATTTTATCAACATCTTCCCGTACGAGGACCTATTACTGTTTCCCGGTGTGCGCACAGTGTGTCCTATGAGAGTCGTATCAGCCTGGGCAAAAAATGGGGCTTAAGTGACCAAAAACAGTGGTGCTTACCGTACATATTCGGAAGCCAAGTGCAGGGAAAATCCGGCTTCATGGGTACAGGGGACAACCTGCGGACATCTATTTCCGATGATATTTTCAAATGAATTTTATCATGCAGCGAATTAAGCTGACAAATAAGCGGAAATTTAGTAAGTTTGTACGTCTTGGGTTTATCATTTCATGTAGTAACGTGAAAACCAATTTTCAATTACTTTCCCTTTCTTCAACCTCCCCCCACCACTCTACGGGACTCATTAACGTTGGGCCCTCGACTTACGCGCCAATTAAGATATGAGGGTGAATCATGGTCTTCGAGACATCTCGTTGAGGACATGTGATTTTAGGCCAATCGCTGGCCTACTCTATCTATCACGAACCATTGCAGAGAGGACCTGTAGCATTAGACCGATTGGAGGCCTGTTTCGCGTTTCATGAACCAATTTAGTGGGACGTGGAACGTGAGGCCTATCTGGAGTTCCTCGAACCATCTAGGATAGGTCTGAGGAGAGAATGCCTCCACGATGCATGAATTCTATGGCACGCGTCATCCTGTTACTTCTGGGATACCCAGATAAGATATCTATATATCCCACCACATCGATCAATCACTGCTAACCACCGCTTCATTCTCAGCTCATCTCTTGAACTCGGCACAAAAATGTCTCATGCATTAAGGAACAGAATATCCAGACCACAAAATGACGGTTGAAATAGTCTTGAATCTGGCCCAATTTCGGCACGGTATCCGGCAACATTGGGGGGCGGAACCGGATCAAGAACTCTAAGCTAATGGCGATGGCTATGGCGAAATGGCGCATCGCAAATAACAAAAAGCTAACTTTTCTTCATCTACGAGTCAATATTTTTCTTATGCTTGGTCTCTTTCCTCCGAAAACCCCACAGGAATGGGAACTCCTGGTTTGTTCATGTACGTGGAGACTTGGAACTTGAAAGCGTGCGGCTTCATAGCAACGGACTTCCCTGCTTCTCCTACTTCCTCTCAAAGGTCGACAGATCTCACGCTGTAATAATCGTCCCATTCTTCTTACCATCTGGCGACTGCGTAGGAAAGATTATGCCAAAGTGTAAGAGAGCTAAGGTCGTTGCGATTATTAGCGGGATATGCAAATCTATTTCAAATATTTAAAAAATCAGAGCAAAGGAGCGGAGCACCATACTGGAAACCGGGTCTCACTGAATCAGTCGTGAAACATAGTGAAAAATTTGCCCTTCACTAATTCGCGACATATGAGAGGGTGACAAACTAGATCTGAAAACTCAAGAACACCCATTCTTTTCGATAGGAGGCCATTCCTTCTTGACTAGTCTTTGTCTGCGGCAAAGTGAAATCTGTTCGTTAGAATGGCTGACATGGAGGTCCAGAGAGGGGATCGTGGCTATTGGAATAATATTGCGACACCGTATTCATTAAAAAAGTAAGACTTTTCAATCAGCTGTTCGAGTCAAGTTCCAACACCTACGATTAATGCGTTTCACTTTCCGGGGACCTACTCCTATATACTCAGTTTCAGCCACCGAAGTTTTAGTCCTGTCGTGACTCGACCCTTGAAGACAGGTCGTTTCAGAGGTGTGAAACAACACGGTCGTTCCCTGAGCTCTAAGAAACAATTGACGCAATGATTGGACGAAACAAAAGTTCGGGTTTCGTTGTTTTCCCCTATTACATCTCGCGTTTTGGTTACTTACCTCTCTCCGCTACTCGGACAAGATGTTATTGTAAAACGTCCATGCAATATCTCCACAACACGTCTGCATCCGGTCTCGACGCCGACTGGAAGAGATACATACCACAAATTCCTTCATCATTACTTTTCTTTCACTCAAGACAATAGAAAAATCATTGAAATTTTATCTTCTTATTGTTGATTTCTGTTTGAGTCATCAGCATCGAATTTCACAGGCTGACTGGTCACGACTGGTTCAGCCATTGTCTTCCTTGATTTTACCGAATCAGGAAATTATCCACATTCATGAGAGGGTCATCTGTCTTGTCATTCCGGGAACTTCCTCCTAGGCGGATGAACGGGTTTTAATAATTGATGTGTCAATCGAAAACTCATGACCTAGAGGCGATACTTATTGGGTCAAATGTCCAAAGAGTACGCTGAAAACGTGGTTTATAAAGGTCCTCCTGTCTTTCTGCGCGTCGGAGGCCTGCACGGATCGACTTTTCCGAGTTGAAACTCGATCGGTCCGACTCGAATCGTGGCCCGCACCCTACCCGGAACGCGATCGTCAACCGGGCTTGCTACTCGGAGCCGCGAATGGTGCTGAACTGGCATGGTCGGCCCGACGCCCGCTTAGACCTCTAAGCTTGGTAACTCCAGGCCTCTGATGACGTATTAGCCCCAAGAGGGGACGGAGGGACTCTCGCAGATCTGCGCAGAAACGCATTTTCGGGGAGATCGGTTCAGAAAATTGGGCATGCCGTGGAAGAAGACGTTGTGGCGAAGCGTGCCTTTGGCATGGGAAACTGTGGAAGACAGTTATATCGGGAAATATGAAACTCATAAAAACTCTCCTGTCCGGATAAACCTATTCATTAGGGATGAGTTGTGTGAATTCGATGCCCGGCCATCTCCCATTTGTATACATATACCTGTACATAATATGTAAGAGGATAATCTGTCCGTGCCAGGGTGTCTCATCGAGCCGATCCACTTCCCGATCGAGCACAAAATCTTCCCCTATTCTACCAGGGCAGTCTAAAATGAGAACTACTGATTTCTCTTGAATGTTACGAAGCTGAACTCGCTGAATATTTGCATACGGTGATTGGAGTTTCCCTAAAAGACGAAACGCATCCATTGAAACGCATCATTGAAAGCATGTTTGCTTGAAAATGTTGAAGCTTTGCTGCTTTAGGATGTTACGAGACGGAACTCACGATATTGTTACAAAAAGTAAATTGGGAGTCTCTCATGACAGGAACCATCAATCCTTTCTCCATCTGCTTCCTGAGAGCTCCAAATTCCTTCGGTGTGTCTCAATTTAGTGCGATAAGTGTCAATTGAAACCTTATAACTTGGTGGCGATAATAAA